CAGTGCATTGGAGGTCATTCAGCCAATTTCCTTCTCAGCCCTTCTTTGGGGGCAAAGGCACCAGAGTGAGACATAAAAACCACTTTCAGAGTCTGGTGCTCTGGCCTGAGCCCTGCACGATGATGATGATGATGATGATGATGATGATGATGTGTGTGTGTGTGTGTGTGTGTGTGTGTGTGTGTGGAGGGGGGGGCGTAACTCTGTAGCCGGCAGAGTGAGCTGTGACTGTAATTCTGGAACCGGTGGCAGTTGACTGTGAGTGGGGCTCTAATCATTAGCAACCTCTGGAAGCAACTGCTTTAGGGAAAGTAGAAAGTAGATTCTCAGTGGGGGTGATTTTGTACCCCCTTCCCTACACCTCTGGCAATGTCTAGAGACATTTTTGGTTATCATAACAGTGGGTGCAGGAACTCCTGGCCTCTAGTAGGTAGGCATCCTGGATATTGTGAAATATCCTATCGCGTATTGGACATTATAAACACAATGAGCAATTCTGGCCCAGAATGTCAACGGTGCCACTATTAAGAAACCCTGGAATAGATATAACATGCTAACATGCCACCAAAGACATGAATCCAAATCCACAGATGTCCTTGGCCCTCAAAGGCAGAGTGTTAATTCAGGGTTTTGATTTGGGAATGAAATTTTCTTAGCTTCCATTTGTCATTATTTATCTAAAGGTGTGGATGGACCCAGGGGGTGGCAGGGAAAGGCTTACAGGTGGATCGTGCAGTCCCCTAAACAAGCCACCAATAAACACTAAGACCCCATTTAAACCCTTGATTTCTCCAGAAATTGGTCACTGGTTAAACGGCAGCATTTGGATGAACAAATGTTCAGTTCTGGACGGCCTGATTAGATTTATTCCATACGGATTCCCCAGGTGGTCTCCCGTCTTCACCAAAGAGTTCAAAAAAACACACCATTTAGTTGATAAAATTGAATCTCCCACGAGTTAACGGAGTGGAACCAGCCACTGGTGCAGATTGAAGCACAAATGCTCCTGTGAAAACCAGGCTGGGGGCTGGGGGGGGGCAGATATTTTCCTAACAGTTGATTCGATGCAGTTCAGTGGTTGATGGTGTGTGGAAGCAGAACACCTCCGGAGGATCCAATCCCCTCCTGTTTACGTGGCCAGCTCCTCAAAGGGCACACAGAATTTCTTTCCCCTATAAAGTGAATCTGGGCATTTTACAGCTGGAGAGGGAGCGATTCCATTTGAATTCATCAAGAGGCAGAAGGCAAAGAAGCATGCTGGAGCTTTTAAGGACATTCTTCCCTGATTGACAAGGTCCTGGGGCCACCCCCTGAGAAGTTTTAGCCACAGGACATTTCTTGACATCCTTCAAGAGAGGCCTGTTATCTTAGCTCCATTCACACGGAGTCTGCTTCTTTCTTTCTTTCTTTTTCTAATATGTCAGTTTAAGGACTAACTCCATTCTAACTCTCCAAGTTGAACACACTTGTTAATGATAAGCCTGTAACATTCCCACCCCCCCTATAAACTATATAAAAAGAAAGCAGTAAAATTATTGAGGAAAAACATACCTTTCAGCCACTTTGGACATTTTCAAACAGTGTCTATCAATCTGTGCATTCAAAAATGTTATCTGGGGGAAAGAGAGAACAGAGAGGTTGAAGACCAAAAGAGAATTCTTTTCCCCCCAGTTCATTCCACTAGCCCAGATCCGCCATTTCCACCAAGAGCTGAATACCTCCTCTGGCAAGACTTCTCCTGCCCTCTGGCTTTGCAGGCCTCCAACCAACATCCTAGGATACTTTAGGATTCTCACTCTATAATTTAGCCGAGGGCATGTACTTGCCTGCACTGTTATAATTTAAGTCTGGATTCCCAAAAGCTATTCCTAAAACTTGAAGGCAACATAGATTCTACAAGGCTTAGGAACAGTACAGAGTTAAGATGTGCACCGTAAAAATCGATTTTGCCTGAATTCCAGTGGCCATCCCTCTGCCCACCTTTCACACACGTATTGCCCTGTGTGCTTGGCATGTTTGAATCGATCATCAAAGAGCCACATTGCAGATGTCTGTTTCTTCTTCCTGACCTAATAATAAACGTGCCAAGGGAAGATACCCAAAAGTTTACTCTTTAAACCCATCCCCCTGCAGAGGCTGGGAAAGCATGATACAAAGAGTAAGCCTCAAAGTTGCCTCAGTATTAGTAAATATCAGAAGGGAGTGATGTAATTAAGCATTCTCTGTTGATCTGGGCTTCTCAGAATGTGAAGAAGATGATATTAAATCAAATCATGCTCAAATGGCATTGGGATAGGGCTGACTTTATTCTTTTATTTTTAAATACATTTAATGCTGAGGATTTAACTTGAGGGTGCTTTACTACTGAGCTACATCCCAGCCTTTTTTTTATTTTTTATTTTGAGACAGGGATCTCACTAAGTTGCTCAGGGCCTTGCTAAAGTTGCTGAGGCTGGCCTTGAACTTGCAATCCTCCTGCCTCAGCCCCTCCTAAGTTGCTGGGTTTACAGGTGTGCACCACCACACCGGGCTATTCTTAAGCTTTCCTTCTGAACCACAGCAATAGCATTGGTGTTGCTGAGCTGGTGGGGGTCTCTGGAAGCGCAATGCACTTTTAAGGGTCCTGGGACATGATCCTCTTCCTCCCCCAACTCCGCAGCAGTGGGTGGGAACCCGGATCACAGGGGTCAGCCCCAGCATGGTGACTACTCATTTTGTACTTCTTTAAGAACTGTTGTTGGTGGAGACTCTTCCAGCTTCTCATGGGTTGTTCTCACTGCACTCAAAGGTTCCAGTCTCCCACTGATGGATTCCACAGTGGTTTCCAAGCTCTCTCAATCTTGAGAGGTGAAGGTGAAAGGGGATTTTAAATCAACCCTGTCCTGTCCTGGGAGGGCAGCTGTGGCGAATCACTCACCTGTTTCCGGATGTCCTCTTTTGTAGTTTTCCTAATTGGCTGACTGGGTATGTGCACAGGACTCTGAGACTGGGACTCTTCGGTCACACCGTACACGGACTAGAAGAAGCAAGAATAAGATCATGTACCTTCAGAGTTGAGGGGTGGCGAAGGGTCAGTTAGTCTAACCTCTCATCAGATTCTTCCAGGTCCCTCTATGACATCCACACCAAAGTGACAGGCCTCTGCTTGAATTTCTCAAAGGATGTGAACTCTGCCTCTTGGGGCATCTCATCTCATTTTTGAGTGACAGCTGCTAGGAAATCCTTCCTTTTGTCAAGTTGAAGTGGTCTCCTTGCATGTCACTGTTTTTCCAGATATGGCCCATGAGCCATCTGTGAAGAATCACCTGGGGGCACTTGGTAAAGACACATCCCACGGAGCTCCCCCCACACCTGCTGTGGGTAGGTTGAGGATCTGCACTTTTATCAAATGTCCCAGGTGATTCCGGGGCTAAAGAAAGTTCAAGAACAACTGCTAAAGGTTATATGCAAAAAATCCTTTCTAAATTTTCTGCACGGCAGCAGATGACAGGCCCATCTGGTACCAAATTGAGATGCGGCATTTCAGGTTTTCTTTTTTAAGTGAAATGGATTTCTGGCCTCAGTTTCTTTGCTTGTCTAAAAGCTATGGCTCTTTTTAAAAGTGGTTCCTAGTGTTGGGAAGAGACTAAAGGCCACCTTTTGTGTTAGGAAAGAAACAAAGCCCTGAAGGACTCACAGGGTGTGGCTGACATCTATAAAATCAGGAAGGGTTCCTATAAGGTGATAAGGTCCATGGGTCCATAAAATTCTAGATATTAGAGTTAGAATTAGGGACTTTAAAGATTAAATGAGAACATTTAAGACAAGGACTAAAATAATTTAAAGTATAATTCAGTAGGCATTGTTATCTCAGTGACAAACAAAATACATAGCCGATTGAAAAGTTGTGTGATTGAAAAGTAGATTGAAAAATTCCACACCTGACCTCATGTGACAGGTTACAGTTAAAACGCAGGCCCACTAAAAAAAAAAAAAAAAAAAAAAAAAAAATTGTATAAAACTACCTTCAAGGCTATGTGTATATGAAACAAATTTTGTGTTCAGATTTGGGTCCCATTCCCAAGATTTCTCGTTATGTATATGCAAATATTCCAAACTCTGAGAAACATAATCCAAAACCAGAAACATTTCTGGTCCCGAGCATTTTGGATAGGAGATACTGAATCTCTGTGTGTGTGTGTGTGTGTGTGACTTCAGGATGCCCTGGGGAAACCTCAGTCTGGCTTAGCTGGCCTCCTGGGGGCTCCTGACCAGCCTGTTTGTTCCCTAAGATGGCCCTCCTGGCCTGGTGGCTTATTGACGGGTTTCATTTCCACCCAACTGTGGGCTCTGTGAGACCCTGAAGCCCAGCAGCAAACATGGTACCCAGCACCCACCAGCCACTCAATAGATACTTCTAGAATTGACTAATAGAATGGTTTCAAAAGTTATAATAGGACAGATTTCCAAATAGAAAATTATCACGTGGAGAATAACAGAAACGGAAGGGCTATTGGCACCAAGAAGTTTGAACTCAGCTCAACGAGCGAACCTTTTTAACCTTTTGTGGATTCTTCAAACGCCGACATTTTCTGATGTCCATTTCTGTGGTGTTCACACAGCCTGGCTGAGGGAAGAAGATCGTATAAATTATTTAGCCCAAGTAACACCATCAGAACAGACCTCTAGCTTCCCCGTTACGGATCTTCATGAAGGTTTTCATTGGGCTATAATGTAGGCTCTTATGTTCCTGTGCGAACGCCTCATTCTGACCTTCTGGTAAGGATGATATGGGGCGGGTATAGTGGAAGGTTTCTAAGAGCAAACTTATTATTCAAGTGGCAAGATGGCCAGATGCTAAAATTTATTTGTAACCTGAATCAGTATTTTCAACGATTTAACAGATATGGATAGGATGCCAAAGATATAGTGCATGAGCCCAGACCAGGTGGAATAAGGTGACGTTCTGCCTTCTTACTTCAGGCCTCATACGGTAAACCAGTCTGTTTAGAATTTATGGGGCACCAAGTTTTTTTGCATTTCTGGTTTTTTGGTTGGTGGTTTTTCTGTTTACAATGGTTCCCAAGCAGAGTGCTAGAGTGCTGTCAGGCCATCCTAAGTGCAAAATGGCTTGGATGTGCCCTAAGGAAAAAATACGAGTTAGATGAGCTTCACTCTGGAATGGGTTATGGCTGTGAGTTCAATGTTACTGAACCAACGGTTCATGTGTTGGTTCATGTTAAGTAGAGAGATTTTTACACAGGAACAAACATTCAGCAAATTTACATATTGAACAGTTGACAAAAATGGGACCCGAGGCTCACAGGAACCCAGAGCTGTTCTTCTCTAGAGTGGATGCTTCAGTATTCACTGATTCAGTGTTCACAGATTCCTTATAAAAGGAACAGGACACTACTACAGGACCACTACTGTCAACAGCAAGAGCTAGCTGTACTCGAAAGACAAGAGGTTAGAGTTGAAAGACAATGGAAGTGGAAATTGTTAATTTAGGGGAATGTCAACTTCTGGGGCTCAAAGTTTTCCCGGTAGAATTCTTATCACTCCTCCATTTCCATTTCCATTTTCATGAATGGATATCTTTTTAAAGGGTGGCAACTGACATATTCTGGAATATCTGCTGAGATTTTCTAAATGAACGGCCAAACCATTTTACAAAGCATAGCACTTTTTAAAAGAAAGAGACACCTGATCACTAGAGACAGCCTTTTCTTTGTAGAGAAGAAAACAGGAAAATGAAAACACACACACACACACACACACACACACACACACACACACACAGGGAGAACTAAAGTACGGCTTTCTCACCACTGGTCTGTGGACATCCCAAAAGGCACGTTCCTGACTATCCAAAATTTTCCGTTCCGTCTTGTCCTTTTTCCGATCTATCCTGAAAGAGAGGTAGTAAGAGATTTTTGTCCCCCACCCTGACCCTTGCCCCAGTTCTCTGCTCTCATTTCTAGAAGCTAAACTGCACACAAGGATGTGGTCCCTGCTCTGTGCAGGTGTACGGTTCCCTCCAGGAAATCAGGGCAGGATTATAGATTGCCATATAAGTGCAAGAACACGATGGACCCATGGGAAGAACAAGAATGAAGTTGTCCCCTAAAGTGTCAAGATCTGGGTTATTGAGAACTGAATTACCCGTTGACACACCCCTTCCCTTTGAAGTGAATTCTGACCTCACACGTTTATAAGAAGGAATATGACTACGGGTTTGGCAGGGTTCCATCTCAAATCTGAAAGTTTACTTTAGATTCAGAGCCAGCAGAAATGTCTTGAAAATGCTGCAATTACGTATTTTAAAAGTCACTGAAGCCAACTTGTTTTCTCAAGGCAGAATAATGGCCCTAGCCTGTGACAAGATTTAGAAGGTGAACATAACCAGTCTCAGGTCGGGGAGACAGAAATTGCAAGAGAGAAATTACAGGTGACAAAGATAAGATTATTTATGTTTCAATCAGCACCTAGATAAAAGACTTTTTTTTTTTTTTTTTTTTTAAGCATGTGTTACTTCATATTATCTAAGTAAAAAGCAACTCGGATTAATTGCCGTGTAACTTCTGGTTCCCGGCTCTCTTGGGAGCACTTTAGTTTACTGGACTGAAATAAACCCGTAATCACCCCATGATTTTTGTGATAATTACTGTGTACTTAAATGGCCCACAATTATAATGCAATCACAGAGTTAATCAGAAAAGTTAATGGAGAAACGCCATCTATGTACAAAGTGCCGATGTCGATGTCCCCTCCCTTTATAACATGTGATGCCAATTGATTCTGCAAGAGCAAATTTGTGCTCCTCCCTGCTTCCCAGTGGCTTCTGAGTAAACCAGGTTCATTTACCCTGCAGCCCATACAAATCCCTCTTGCTTCCCACCCGTTCTCCCACCTTTGATATTGCCAGACAGTGCTTATTGCAGCTCAACCCCAGGGCCTGTGCCCACCTCCTTCTGGAACTGCTGGGAGAATTAGGGTAATCACCAGGTGGCTGGAATCCTGGGCAGGGGACAGGCAGAGACTGCAGAGGGAGGGTGACATCGATGACCGGCATATAGAGTACTGGACCAGCTGACCTTAGGTCATTTCACAACTGTGTCCACAGCTGCGATCCATCCTCCCCACGCAGCAGAGACCCAGCTCTAGGGGATGCGTGATGCCACCTGTAGAGCGTGAAAACCCACGGGGCCTGCTCATATGCAAGTGGCACCCAGAAAAAGGGGACTTGTATTCTCCCCACTCCACATCCCTGTCCCACCCCATCATAGTCCCACTCTACGGACACTGCTGTCGAAAGCAGATCCCATGGGAAAGGACAGAGGAGACCCTCCCACAGCAATGCCATGTCCCAGAATCACATGGATCTGGTTGATGGCTTTGTTTGTGGCCTCGGGGACATTTATTCCTCCTTCTTTATATTTCCTTTGAGAGGAAGAAATTTCTACTATATGTTCAGGGAGGGGAAAATATGAAAAAAATCCTTTCAACTTTTTTTTTCTTTTCTTCTCCTATTATTTTTTTCTTTTTTATGGAGGAAGAATGAGTTTACTTATTGGTGAATTTGAAAGAATAAATTGAGAATGCTCTGGCTGATCCCTCTCTGCCCCCGTCTGGGTCAGTCTGTCCGCAGGATATCCCTTCTCTGCATGCAGTAAACTTAGATGGGTCAGCTCAGCTCAGGTCTGGTAAGGAGCCCTACAGATACCTGTTTTTTGCCCCGGAAGTACAGATTTAATTTGGACTTGAGGCCACAGATCCAAAGCCACACTTTATCATCTTTCAATGAATGGACTCCCAATGTTTGACTTCTGCGTCTTATTTCACAATTGATTTTAAACTCCTACCCTTTTGAGAAAAAGAGGAGAGTGGCTACTTGTCTTCTCTAAAATGTCAACATGTTTTCCTCTGAGAACCAAATCTCCAACCCTACTGATTAGAAATCTTGGACAGATAGCTCTACCTTATAAGCAGAGGTTTATATCTGGGAAGGTCCCCTTGCCTACGGAGGCGCGTGCTTTTGAAACTATTACAGAGCTGCGTTGGTTCCAAGGATGAGATTCATCCTTCCTGAGCTCACTTTGTACTCACTCTCTACTGTTCTGCCCTCCTGAGAGATCAAAGAGATGAATGACAGCTGGAAGCCTCCCTTCAGCAATCCCACCCTCACACCGTCTCCTGCTTCAGAGAGTCTTTTTCTCTCCGAGAGGGTCTCTGTTAGGTTCACCTACTTTACTTGCGCCTCTGCTTGCATAAAGATGAATTCCCACTTCCTTGCAAACGCCCTCTGGAGTCTTGCTAGGTTTTCCTAGGGAGAAGCGAAATCGACGACAAGGCATTAATCATCGTAAGTGAACTCATCGACACCCAGGCTTATTACAAGGCGGCCATCCATTTTGGTTACCCCCGACAAACAGCAGGGCCCTGCATTAAGTCCATCGGACATGAACACAGTTTGACTTTGCACCACGCTCTGCTTGTACAGAGCTGCACTATTAATATTCATTTGTACATCCATTAAGTTTGAAGTCTCTGTGGTTCGCCGGATACCTGTCCTCTGGTGTGTTTTTATAAGAACACAACTCACCTAGCCCTTGTTATAAAGGCTGCAGAACGTAATGGTGTGTGGCTGCTGGGAAAGGAATGACAGGGGCTTTGCAACCTGTTGGGTCTCTCCGAGAGCCAAATCAAAGATGGCCCTCTCAGGGACAAGCCTGGGAGGTTCACGGGAGAGGAGAACCCAGAGGACTTGGCACGAGCGATTTCTAAAGTGAGGATTCCAAAGTGGACCAAAGGGGGTGTTTCTCTTTGTGATTTTTCATAAAAGGAAAGCCCCCAAAACAGGAGAAAGGAAATCACCAAGGGTTGCTTTTAAAAATAATAATAATAAAGTATTTTCTCTAAGTCTGCAGACTTAGCTAGTAGAACATTAGGATTTGGTGAGGAGGGGAGTTTGACAGGCCCCTTAATGATCCTCCTAATTCTGATTAATGCAAGGCCAGAGCCCACATTATGCTATGTATTTTCATAGAGCTCATGCCAACACTAATTGATTACCCTCATTAGTGGATTATTAATATAAAGGGAGCTTCAACTGAAGAGCATCACACATGAACTCACAGCTATTACCAAAGCTTGGTGTGCAAGTACATCTAAAACTCTGTCCTTTTGACTTTCCACTGTTTCTAGGAAGCCAAGCTGGTGATTACTAAGTGTCCATCAGTTAAGGAGAGTTACATGAATGATGATAAAGTCACACCATGGTGAATACTAGGCAGCCATTAAAAATGATACTGTAGATTAGTATTACTGGTATGGAAAGTCTCCCCAGAAAGTATCGTATAGGACTGGGAGAGAAGTACCAGATATAGTAATGTTTTTGGCATAATTCTATATTTTTTTTGTAAAGAAAAAAATGTATGCATAGAAAAATTGTGGTGGTGGGAAATCACAGGTTGTTCTCTCTCCTTTTTTTTACTGTTTTTTTTAACTGTTTTTTTTTACTGTTTGAATTTTTATTTTCTACAAAGGGAATATAACCAGAAAATTTTAATACAATGACTGCATTTTGAAAACAAAATGCTTTGTTTGTTCCTAATAATATTTTGTGCAGAACCTCCACTTGAAAAAATCATGCCGTATTCTTTACAAATACCAGAGCAGAATACTACAGTGCAAGAGAAGAGAAAACCAAGTAAAACACACCCAGAGATGGTGCAGTTATACTTCTAACCGTGGGGTACATGGGAAGAGAAACAGGAGGGAGGGGCTACTTCCTTTGCAGTCTGGATCTTTCCTACAGGTTGTGTCAGGGAAGCGATGGTGTCGGGTTCAAGTTTCTTGCCCTGGTTACATAAAGAGTAAAACAGCCTTGGGAAGAAGGGTCATGGGGCTTCTAGCAGCATCAGGGAAGACAGCGGCAGAAATGAGCATCCAGGCTGCAGCACATAATGGTGTGTGGCTCTTGGGAAAGGAATGACGGGGTACCAGGCCAGATTTGCTTGGGGAGGTCCCATTGAATGTCCCCTCATAGGATCTGACAGGCAGACTCCGCCAGGTCCCAAGCCTTGGATGACCTCCTGTGCTCTCTCCTCCCATTCACAGGTCCAGATGCCAGAGAGATCAGAGAGGGCTGGGAGCCCTGGGCAGGTCCCACTGGCACACACGTATTTGCTTTGGGGAGCGAGGGTGTGGTGGCTTGGAAAGCTGGGGCATAGGTCCCCAAGAGAGGCAAGGCCTGGCGGGGGACCTCATCATCCTTTGGGAAGACTGAGACAGTGCAACTGGAAGGTGAGAGGGGTCTGAAGATGTTGTTAATGCCAGACCTTCCAAGGAAGGATTGTCCCCTGCCCTTAATGTCGCCTCTCCTCCCACGGTGGCTGGCCCCTCAGTCTTCTCGTGGCTCAGCAACACCTCTGCTGGAGATTATGGAGGGGCTGGGAAGTGGAAGGTTCACAGATTAGCCAGTTTTCCCGATTCTCTGCACTGCATAAGAGTTCAGTCTGGGGGAAAGACTCTGCCACCCAAAGTTCAAAGACTCCGTCTGAAGCTCCCTCTGAGTCCTCAGGCTCGCTGTGCTTTGTAAAGTGAGAGTGTCTAGGAGTCTGGTGTGGACCTCTGATTCCTGCAAGGAATCCCATCTGATGAAGGAAGACGGGGAGGAAGGTGAGAAGGTGGAAAAGGAGACAGCTCTATGCTATATCTTCCCTGATTTTCTGGATTGAATTTTGTCCTTAGATTCTGCAGGAGCGTGAGTTTAAAGACACAGTTTTAAACTTCACTGTAGAAGATCATGACACAGTAAATTTGACTTTTTAACTTTTGCAACAGTTAACAGTTCTGTAACTTTTTAAAAAAATAATTTTTAGTTGTTGATGGACCTTTTATTTTATTTATTCTTATGTGGTGCTGAGAATGGAACCTAATGCCTCAGGCATGCTAGGCAAGCACTCTACCACTGAGCCACAACCCCAGCCCACAGTCCTGTGACTTTTGACCCATGTACAGGTTCATGTAACCACCACCACAATCAAGATACAGAATAGTTCCTCACCTTCTCTGGATCTCTCCGGTTATCACTTAATGGTCACATCGTCGTACCCCACCCATAATCAAAGCCACTGATTTGTTATTTCTCATGATAGTTTTGTCTTTATAAAGATGCAGTATAGGGCTGGGGTTGTGGCTCAGTGATAGAACACTTGCCTAGCATGTGTGAGGCACTGGGTTGATTCGCAGCACCACATACAAATAAATAAAAATAAAGGTTCATTGACACCTAAAAAATTTTTTAAAATGCAAAATAAATGGAATTACTGACTTGAGACTGATTCCTTTCATTCAACGTAATGGGTTGGATACTCAGCCAAGTGATTGTGCAGACCAATAGTTCCTTCCTTTTCCCTACAGAATAGCATTTCATTGTATGGACATATCATCCTACTTTATCCATGCACCTGTTAGCGCACATTGGGTTGTTTTTAGTTTTTAGTTACCACATATAACTGGTGTGGATCTTAGTGTATAGGGTTTGTGTGAACATAAGTTCTGATTTATCTCGGGTATGTGTGTAGCAGTGAGATTACTTGGCTATATGGTAAGTGTATGTTTATAAGAAACTGCCAAACAATTTTTCAGAGTGGCTGTACCATTTTGCCACCTCACCGGCAATACAGGATGGTTCCAGCTGTTCTGCATGCTCACCACCACTTTGTAGTCTCAGTATTTTTTTTAGAATATTCTTTTTAGTTGTAGATGGACATGATACCTTTATTTAATTAATTTATTTTTATGTGGTGCTGAAGATTGAACCCAGTGCTTCACACATGCAAAGTGAGTGCTCTACCACTGAGCCACAGCCCCAGCCTGTCAGTATTTTTTATTCTAGTCATTCTAACAGGTGGAGTCTCACCATCTGCTTCACAAATGGCTAATGGCATTGGGTATTTTTCTATGTGCCTCCTTGCCATCTTTTTGTCCTCTTTGGTGAAAGTCCCTTTGCCTATTTTTATGTGGAGTTGTTTATTATTCTTTTATTGCTGAGTTTTGAGAGTTATTTATATAGAAATGCAGTTTTATTGTGATGGTGAGAGAAGCTGAGAACCTAGGAGGGGAAATAGAAGAGACTCCCCTCCCTGTGTCAGGAAGGGGTAAGAAGGGAAAATACCAGCGTGGCGCTTAGAGACCCTCCCACCCTAGCCTGCGAAACGGCCACACTTACGGCTTCATAATCAGCCAGTTCCAGCCTCGCTTTATTCTGCATGGTCCTCTTGCAGAGATAGATGGCTGAGGGAGGAAGAGAAAGGGCAACAGGCATCAGGCCAGCAGAGCATAAACCCATGTGTCCCTCCCTCCCTCCATCTCTTCACCCATCCCCCATCCCTCCATTCCCCCATCTCTTCATCCATCCCCCATCCCTCCATTCCCCCATCTCTTCATCCATCTCTCCATCCTTCCATCCCTCCTTCTCTTCATCCATCCATCCATTCCTCCAACCTTCCATCTCTTTATCTACCCATTCATCCATCCCTTCATCCATTTCTCCATCCATCCATCCCTTCATTCCTCTATCCCTCCATCTACCCATCTATCCATCCTTCCCTTCATTCCTCTATCCCTCTATCTCTTCATCCATCGATTCATCCATCCATTCCTCCATTCCTCCATTTCTTCATCTACCCACCCATCCATTCCTCCATTCCTCCATCCACCTACCCATCCATCCATCCCTCCATCTCTCTCCATCCATTCATCCCTCAATCCCCCCATTCATGCACCATCCACCCATCATCCATCCACCCACCATCCACCCATCATCCATCCACCCATCATCCATCCATTCATCCATCCATCCATCCATCCACCCATCATCCATCCATCCATCCATCCATCCATCCATCCATCCATCCATCCATCATCCTGTGCATTCAGCCCCCTGTCCCTCACTGTGCTCACTATGTCCTGTGAAGAATGTACATTCCAAGGAGAAGTCATGCCATCTAACTCCAGGAGTCTCTCTGTAGGCCAGGATCCCCTGAGGACCCCACCTGCCAATCCTGGCCACTCCTCTCCTTCCTTTTCACGCTGCTGCACCCAGACACCCTCCACTCAGAGAATTCTTTTTTTTTACAAGTATGACCTCGTTGCCCTGGGCCTGAAACCTGCACTGAATCTTCAGTGGCCTCAGAAGAAAGGCTTACAAGGCCACCACATTTTCAGCTACTTCCATTTCCCCTCCTCTTCCTGTGTCCCCTACATGATGACTTTTCTCTCTTCTCTCCTGTTTCCCTCTTTCCCTCTGTCTGGTGACCTCCCACTAGTCTCTGAAGACCCTGCTCAGTGTCCCCTCTGTGTATCCCCGACACATGACCTAATTAAGTCCATTGCCCTGAATTCCTGTGTTTACTGACCGTCCCCTGCTCTATGCTGAAGGTTCTTTAGGGACAGGACTATGTCCAATTCAGCTCTAACCCTGTCCCTAGCGCCTGAGCCTGTCTTGCCAGGTGGGAGGAGAGAGCAGTGGAAAGGGAGGACGAGGTGGGGCTCTCGGCTCAGCTCCAGGAAGGGCTCCCAGCCTCAGGGCCTTCCTCCCCCAGAGGTGCCCGTCACCTCCTCTCCCTAGCTCTGCTTCTGGGGGTCTTCCTCCTGCTCCAGTGCCAAGTGGGAGGATCCAGGGAAATGGCAGGTGAACAGCATGAGGAACAGGATGACCAGAAGGTCGCAGAAGAGCCGTGACCGTCCAGCTGCCGGAACTTAACTACTGCGAGAGACCTCTGGCCAGCTCCCTGCTCCCTCTGCTCTTGAGCGTTTGCTGACAGCAGCCCATGGTGCCCTGGAACCCCGCAGCTAGCAGCCTGCTCTCCAGGATGCCCACCCTCCTGCTTCCTATTGTCTAACCGTGTGCTGACTCAGGTCCATTTGTTCCCAAATCTGCTTATGTCAGGCTTCCTTGTTGCTGTGACAACGTAAGTTCACCAAATACGATGGATACACACAGTCTCAGAAGTTGGTTCTACTTGATGATTTTTTTTTTTTTTTTTTTACTTTACTATGACGTGAGAGTCAGAGGCATCTGATAGAAACCATATGTTCAATTTCAAACGTGGATCTCTTCCCGGGCTAGTGAGATGAAATGCAGTTTGCCACTCTGGGGACGCCAGGCGGTGGCAGGGAGCCGCAGCTCCCAGTCAGCTCTGGGCTCCAGGGTCTGGGTGTGCTCTCCTGCTGAGCTGTGATGTTGGGTAGGTGACAGGTACTGAAACACTGTCAACTTCTGATGTTTTCAGCTTAGGTTGGCTTTCTCAGGACACAGCCCCTTCCTAAGTTGAAGGGCATCTCTACCAATGAACTTGACGGGAAAAGGGAGAGTTGTTGTTGGATGGTGACAACAACTTCACAAAGGAGAACAGTTAAGGCCACGGCTGGTGAATTTGTCATAGGTGGGGTGGCCGGGAAAATATAGGAAAAAAATATAATAAAAATCTAAGGAAAAAATAATAGAAATCTAGACGAGGCCGGTATTCAGGAAGCTTCAAAAGTGTCATGCAATTCTCGATGCATTTTTAACAAGACCCAAATTGGATGATTTGAGCGCGGCTTATTTAAGAAAGGAGCTCTAATTCTGGGGTGAAAGAGAAGTAGTTGGTCCTATCTCAAAGACTGTCACATCGTACTCCTTCATGCATCTCACACTCATATGAAGTGCTTAAGGCCTCATTTTGAAAACCATTTGCTATCTGCCAACTTTTCCAGAGAACCTGGCAAGTCCAGCTCTGCCTAGAGTCTGGTGAAGGGGCATCTGCTCTTCACAGAGCACCTCCTGCAGCCTCTTGCACCCACAGGCATTCTGGGAACTCGGGAGCCACCTCAAGCAAGAAGCTTGGCACGTCACCTGCCCTGCAGCCCTGGTCTCCGTACCTGGGAGCAGCATCGGTCAGTGGAGGTAGCAATTGCTTTCACAAAGCTGCCCCCATTTTGGATGGTGCTTTCTAGTGGCCACAGGTCCATCTCAGGAAAGGTTCTATGGTTTAGATGTGAGGTGTTCCCAGAAAGCTCATGGGTGGGACACTGCAGGAGAGTTTAGAGGTGAATGGTTGGGTTATGACAGCCTTAGCCTAACCAGAGCACACATCCACTTGAATGGACTAACTGGGTGGTAACTGCAGGAAGAGAACGTGGGTCCCTGAGGGTGGGCCTTTGGGATAGGTGGCACGCTCTCTCTGCTTCCCGGTGGCTATGTCCGGAGCTGCTTTCCTCCTCCACGCTGTGACATCCTGCCTCATCTCAGGCCAAGAGCCACGGAGCTGGCTGTCTATGGACTGAGCCCTCCCAAACTGTGAGCTCCAAAGAAACTCTTCGTCCTCTATGTTGTTCTTGGGTGTTTTGGTCACAGCACTGAAAAAGCTGACTCAATCCAAGGCAAATCCAGATTTGGGCAAGGCGCTGTGTGCAGGCAGAGTCATCCCGAATCATTTCCAAGCCATCTGGGTCAAAACGGGCCAGTCAGGCTGTGAAGCGAAGCATCGCCCAGGAACACAAAGCTGGTGCCACTCTGGTGACAGTGAGTCCCGGTCACATGTTTCCAGCCCACTTCCCGGTGGCTCATGTCACACATTAGGGCATCTGTTGGGGAGGGAGGGGCCTTGGGGGCAGCTGTCCCCTGGGGCTTGGCTGCACCACCAGGGTCCTTCACCTGCAGGCTTTGTCTCCCTGCCTCCACACCCGGAGTCCCACTGGGACAACCCACTTCCACCTCAGGCTCACGACAGGTCACCAAGACAGAAAGGCAGTGCGTTTAGAAAGGGAACAGACTCAAGTGCTAGATGTTGAATTAGAATGCGAAAAATACCAAACTCACTTGGATGTTCTGAAACGACAGATCCCTTTGCAAACTTTCTGCCTTGATTAGTGACATCGCTACTGACCTCAGTCTCCTCAAGTAGAGAGATGGAAATCACTTCCTTGTCTATTTTTCCTCAGACTCCAGTTACTTTTGGAGCCACACAATTCAAGCATTGGAAATGACTTTGGCAGCCACCAGCCAGATGGGGAAAACCAAAGGGCAGGGAAGCGAAGAGATTCACCCAAAGGCGAGTGAGTGAGTGACAGAGTGGAACAGGAATCGAGGCCAAGTTCCGACCTTCCACGGTGACATTCTCTGACCCATTTACTCCTTAGTGTATTCATCCATTCGCTCAGGAAAACGGTGCTGAGGCTGGGCACAGGGGCACTCACGCCGGTAATCCAGAGACCCGGGAGGCGGAGGCAAGAGGATCCCACGCAAGCTTGAGGCCAGCCTCAGCAACATAGCCAAGCCCTAAGCAATTTAGCAGGACCCTGTTGTCTCAAAATAAAAAATAAAAAGGACTGGGGATGGGGCTCAGTGGTGGAGCACCCTGGATTCAATCCCCATCATCAAAGAAAAAAAAAGAAAAAGAAAGAAAGAAAGAAAACAAAACTGCCCTGTCTCCTTGTACCAGGCACTGTCTCAGAGCTGTGAGGCCACCGTGACTGAGTGCAGTGACAGTCTTGCCCAGTCCAAGGGACTTTCATGATGATGCCAAGAGGGGGGTGTTCAGTTAATATCCCCATTTTACCATCAGGGGGTGTCTCCAGTCTTCCTCGTTGCTGGGGACCCACGATGGCTCCCAAAGCTCTGGGGTCCATTCTAATGATGTCTACTATCGAGGCCTTCCTATCACCTGCCCCTCCCCCACTCCGTCTCCCCCATCCCGCCTCATCACCTGGCAGCTTTGGAAGGCTCAGGCCAGATCCTCCCCTCTCCCTTCTTCCCCTCTGTGCTGTCTCTCCCAGCCTGGCCCACTGGGCAGGCAGTAGTGTGACTCGGTCAAATCCGTGACCCAGAAATTGACGGTCAGTGATCAGTCAATGTTTGTTGAATGAATAAACGTTTCTGGGGGTTTTCATCCATCCAAATCACCGAGATTCTGAAATCCTCACCAGAGTTTCACACCCTTCCTCATGGGAGGATCATCACACCACGCACGCAGGAGCAACCATTCCAACGAGGGCCACCTAAGCAGTGACCACAGGGCAGCACTGACTTCTCCCAGCACCCTAATAAAAAGCCACGCTGGGAGACAGCCAATATTTTCCCTCTGATTTGGACGTAAGGTTTCTGAGGCACAGAGAGGTCAGGCCACTTCCCAGGCTCACACAGCCAACGGAGCTGGTGGATCCTGCGGCCTCTGTGGTACTGAATTCTAACTTGGTAGGTACTCGTTGATTTTCTGGCTAAATGGATTTGGAAGCATTGGTGAGTCCTTTTGCCTCCCACACCTCAACTTTACCTGATTTGCTATCTATGGACGCACATGAACTCAAAATGGTTTAGCTTTGATGAGAGCCTGAGATGAACGGTCATTTCTCTCTCTGTTCATCTCCACTTGATCACGAAACGGGGAAAAGAGGTACAGAAAGGGAACGAGTGTCCTTCATCACGTCGTGAAGATGGCGTGGATGTGGCCCAGGAGGCTGCTCTCGGCCTCCCCCGACCATCTCAACCGCCTCCCACCCTCCACGGCCGGGGAAGATATTGGATTCCGGTTCACCAGGGCCCAGGCTGCTGCCCAGAGCTGAGCTCTAATTATTCCAATTCCAAGTCTGGCTGTTGCCAGTCTTTCAGGCCCAGAAGCACTTGCTTTGTGATGGCCAAGTGCTGCTCCCGCCCTGAGCCCAAGGCCTTGCTGACCTCATTCCTCCCAGGAACCCGTGCACGGTGCTCTCCCAGGTCCACTGAGAGGTGGTGGGCAGCCCAGCCGACAGCTGAGGGCCCTGGCCATATCGTGAGCACCCTCCAGACTAGAAGAAGCGCAGCCTCACCAGGCAATGGCTCACCCCTCCCCACCCACGCCCTGAGCCTGCAGTGATGGTGCCGTGGGCCACTCTCTGCCTCTTTGGCTTAAAGCCAACGGAGACTTCAGACAGATGTGATTACGGGGGACATGGTCTTCCTGGGCCTCCGGTTCTTTATGTTAAGTATAGGGACAGTATAATTTCTTCAGAAAATTGTTACATAGAAATATTCATTAGCCTCCACTGAGTTGGGTAGATCCCTGCCTGGATAGATATGGCTCTTTACCTAGCTTCTAACTTCACCCCATCAATTACAACTATGAAAAACACTGATGAGCTCTTAGTAAGTTTCAACAAGTCTTTGAGAACAGGAAGGGACAGGGGAAGGTGTGGCTCCTTGATCCAGCCCTCCCTGAAACCCTGCTCCTGGAAGGATTGTTCAAAAGTCACAGTCACATCACACTGCCACGGGATCCTAGTTCCCTATGGTCCTGCAGAATGTACTTATTGACAACCCTCTATCTCACTTTTCTTCCCTTTTGTGTCTTTTCTCCCAAGGGACTGCATCTTTCAGTGTTTTCAATGTCAACAACACCAGAAAGGGTTAAGCAGGGTCAAAACCCTTCCTTCCCAGGCACTTGTCTTCTGCCCTCTGGGGGTAACAGGAAGTGAGGATGTGGCTTCAGTTCTCACCATAGTCAGTGTTCTCAGGTTCCCAGCAGTTGGAAGGCCAGAAGTAAGGAGCCTGTAAGAGAGTACTAAGCATCAGTACCTAGAGACACCCGCCTCTCTGCACCCACCAGGGCCCTCTCCACAGCAGGCCTCTGCCCGTCTCCTGGCTGACTCCACCCCCAACCCTTTGACATAGCTGAGGCCAGTCAACATTGCAATCTAGGGGTTGAGAAATAAAATCCAAGGTAAGCAAAGTCAATGCAAAAGCAAGAAATTTTGTTTATGAGGCAGACAATGATCTCTTTTTAAGAGGCTTTTTATTGTTTATAGAGGCAAAGTACCCTTACCACATAAAATACAGGCCACCTGCCTGTTTTAAACTTGAATATTACATGGGGCACCCTTAGATTTAAAAATATTTATTGTTTATCTGGAATTAAAATTAAACTGCATATCTGTATTTTTAATCCTCTAAATTTGGCAACCTCGGGCCAGTGGACACAACCTTTATTTTACTTATTCTATTTTATGTCATTTAACATCATGAGATGGTATGCAGAACCTGTAGCAGCAGTTATATGACTGAACAGCTCTGTGTCACTAAATTAAGTCCTTATTTGGCTTATCAGACCTGGAGGGTTGGATGTCTCCAAAAGGGGAGAAAAGTAATATAACATTTAATACCATTTTATATTTACCAATAATTTCCCACCTACGGTCTTTTAAAACACACTGTTTTTATGAGGCAGGATGACGTCAAGAATTCTTGTCTGGAAACACACAGCGTCTAATAACCAGACAGAGGCTGGCAGTCTCCCGGGTGCAGAGCCTGGCTTCCTTTTTGCCCTTGAACCTACTGAAGACCTCTCACACCATCTGTGCCCCTGTTCCCTCTTGGGCAGGGTCTGGGGGAGGCAGCGTAAGTAGAAACCTCACCCCAGCACGAAGGAGGAGCAAGGTCATCTAGGCCCAACGCAAAGCTGCCTCCTAGATTCAGGAGGGCCACATAAATTCTCTGGTCTCCTCCAGGTTCTGGTCTGTAAAATGGGCAATATTTGCCCCTCCCCAGCAGTTTTCTGAGAATAAGTGAGAAAATACATGCAACATGTCTGCTATGGTCTGGATGTTTTGGTGCCCACCTTTCACCATGAATGAATCCCACTCCCCAAGGTGATGGTATTGGGAGACTTTGCAAGGTGAGGAGGTCATGAGGGTGGATCCCTCCTGAGCAGGGTTAGTGCCCTTGTAGAAGAAGCTTGGAAGAGATCCCTCGTCCCGTCCACTGTAGGAGGACACCGTTCGAAGGTGCCCTCTGTAAAACAGCAGGTCTTCTTCAGACACCAAACCTGCTGCAGCCCTGATCTTGGATTTCCCAGCCCCCAGAATTATGCAAAACCAAGTTCTTGCGTTTATAAGCTACCCCGTCGATGGCATTCTGTGACAGCCATCCTAAAGGGCTTAGGCAATGCCTCTGAAGCAGTAGGCTCTCAGTGAGCGCCTTTGACGCTTATTCAGTGGGTCAACCCGTGGCCCAGGTGGATGGGTTTCCCAGTGCTGCTTCCTTGAACACCCTTAGATTTTCTAGGTGGTTCTAATCTGGTTCAGATGATGGTAAGTGGGAAAAGGTGCTTGAGGAGGAGGAGCCCCGGGAACCTACCTGGAAACGATAGAAGGTACCATCATCCTTCATGGTGAGAACGTGGTCGGAGATTGGAAAGATGTAGCCCTGGGCGGCGATAAGGCTTCCCAAGTGTATTGCTTCAACTGCAGAGAGACAGACAGAACCAGGAAGCGGATGATTTCGCTGAAGTGTACAGGGGCAGAGATCGAGACGACTGGCTGTGTTTATGCCGTGATTGCATTTGCTGGTGGTGGCGCAGGAGGGGAGACGCCCACAGAGGAGGAGGACGGTCAAGGGCTGGGGGGTGGGGTCCTCTGGGTCCCAGCTGTGAAAATCTGATAATTCTTAGCTTCCTACCCTTACGATCTCCCAGGAGAAAGCCAGGTCTTGCTTCATGGTGGCGAACATGAGCACTGGCATAGATGAACTTGTATTTAATGAAGTGAGATATTTCACATGAAGTGCTTAGCCGTGTCTGGTCCAGGGCAAATATTCAATAAGGGCTGGCAGCTTTGATTCATGGCCTCGCTTCATCTTGTTTTATCACCCTGGGCAGTGAGGACGCGGCCCCGCTGCCCACAGGGGGACTGTGGATTCCTGTTACAGTCCTGCAAACAACACTCGCCTCAGTGGTGACAGTGTTCTCTCGTGGGCATAGATAAAGATTCACTTTCTAAGAAAATTGGAAGAAGGACAGTAGTTTGGGCAGTGACCCTGGCGGGGGTGTGGGGTGTCAAACTGAAAGAAATATATATTTGGCAACATCGACTTCTTGTTGAGCACCAGTCCTAAATAGATTCCTATTGATAGTTAAGAATTTATATTTTATCCTACGCAGAGCTAAGAAAAAAAAAATACCTCCACCTAAATGCCCCTCCTACACATAAGAAGGGTCTACAAACCTCAAAGTACTTTCATTGGTTAAAAAGCAATATCTGGACGTGGAAATGATTGACATGCTCAGGGAGTCTCTTAGCAATTATTAATTTCATAAGCTCTGGATGTTTAAAAGTGATTTGTTTTGGCTTTACCTGTGAACCCTTCAAGAGGTTGAATCTGATCCAGATGCTCTACTTATTGAGAATCATCCATTCCCCTTTGGGAGACGTGTACACTTACAACTGGTGGGTTCAGGATGCACGGAGTCTTACTTCTTGGGATGACCAGTTTGCTTTTTAAGTTCTGAACAGCTGCCCCTCGGTAACTGTGGGTGACTGTGAGGGATTCGTTCCAAGACTCCAGCAGGTATAAAAGCTGTGGGTGCTCAAGTCTCTTGCATAAAACGGCGTAATATCTGTGTATAACCTCTGCGCATTCTCCCCATACTTTAAATCATCTCTAGATTACTTATAATGCCCAATATCACGTCCACGGTATGCTACTAGTTGTCAGACTGTGTCATTTAGGGAATAATGGCAAAAAGCGAAGTCTGTGCGGGTTTAGTACAGGGGCTGTTTCCTTCCCCTTGGCTGTTTTCCACCAGGTTGGTGGAGTCTGTGGACACAGACACTTGCCGAAATGGAAGGCCCACTGTGTGCTTCAAGAATAATGGGTCCAGCAAGAAGGGACGCTTCCTCCTCAGCTGCAGCGGCTCCTTTCCCAGGGACAAAAGAAAAAGATACAGGAACAAGGTGGCCTTCATGCCACTCGTTTTGGAGCTTATGCTTAAACCCTTTGAAAAAAGGTTTTTACTCAGAAATTTGGCAAAAGAGAAGAAACGGAGGAGCTGCAGGCAGGTGTTGGACATGCCTCGCTCCCTAGGTGCCGCGTCACCTCGACTGCCCCCTTCTGTACCAGCTGGCCAATCCTTAGCCGCTCAGAAGCCCAAACCAGGTCTCCTGGGCACTGGAGTCTCACAGATCTTCACAGACAGGCCCAGCACTGAAACTCCTCTTGAGGCCCAGAGCATTCTCACCTCCTACTACCCCAATAGAGTTCTCAAAATAACAACAATAATAAGAAACAATAAAATAAAATATGTATCAAAAATACAATGATTATTTCAGAAGAGTAAAGAAACCAGGGCTCCAATAGCAAAGCCATGGACCAAACTAGGTGCCCTTCAATAGGTGAATGGGTAAAGAAAATGTGGTCCATATACACAATGAAATATTACTCAGCCATAAAGAAGAATGAAACTATGGCATTTGCTGGTAAATGGATGGAACTGGAGGCTGTCATGCTAAGTGAAATAACCCAATCCCCCCACCCCCAAATCAAAGGCTGAATGTACTCTCCAATATGCAGATCCTAACTCACAATAAGAGGGTGGGGAGGGAAGAATAGGAGTTCATTGGATTAGACAAAGGGGAATGAAGGAAAGGGAAGGGGAATGGGAATAGGAAAGACAGTGGAATGAACTGGACATAACTTTCATCTATCAGTACATGACCAGTTTACCAACACATCATGCACAACCACAAGAATGGGAAGTTAGACTCCATGTATGTATAATATGTCAACTATCCTATATGTCTAAAAAGAACAAATAAAAAAACCAAAGTGTTTTAGTTTTAAAGACTATTTGTTTTCTGCTGATTTCACTACTTTTTTTAAAAAAAATATTTTTCTTTAGTTGTAGTTGGAAATATTTATTTTATTTATTTATTTTTATGTGGTGCTGAGGATCAAACCTAGTGTCTCACACATGCTAGGCAAGTGCTCGGCCACGGAGCCACCACCCCAGTCGATGATTTCACTGTATTTTTAATTGCTTAAAAAAAAATGAAGTCCTACCAGAGTTAAGATTTATTCAAATCTTCATTTGTTCTAAAGTCTCCTTTGATTTGTAAGTTAACAACTACTTTTACCAAACAACAACAGCAACAAAAACAAAACCAAAAGAACAACAACATAAAACCAGTGCTCTTTGAAAAGACCGCCATCATCAAATAAATGTCACCAAACTGGTGGTTGCTGATGGCTGCTTATCCCGTCCAGTCTCATGAATGGATAATTGGACATCCAGGCTGCAGAGGGGAAGCACGTAGGTGGGTTCTACCCTTTAAAAGGACTCTAGTATTTATAATTTTTCTCTGGTGCACTAAGAACTTGACCAGAATTAAGGATTTTTGCTAGTGGTAAGCAGTCACTGAACAATAGTGAGAGGCCTAGGGTCACTTCCACCAATGACCCCCACTTTCCTGGCATTCAGATTTCCAGCCACCATATTTAACTGAAGACAAATTGATTCATAGTCAGCAGCAGATCAGGACTGTCAGGTTAACATGCAAGAATGTCAGAGATGACATCCTGATCCCAGCAAGGAACCACATCTGAAGGTCAGACACCGAGGGTAGGCACGCGGGGAAAAAACCCCACGAAACCCTCAGAAAGCATGGTGATTGAGGACCACTTAAACTGGGGCAGATAATTCCCATCAGTGCCAGTGTCCATCAAGAACATCAGCCTGGATTCACATCAGTGGAACTTCATAAGCATGACCTTTGGGCATCAAGAATACCCGGTTAAGCAAGACCAAAGGAGTGTAGGATCGATTCAAAAATGATTAACTAATAGCATGTGGATAATCAGCTCTACTTTATGTAGAACTTTCATTTTTTTGGAGTCATCCTCCCATTTCCTAATTACGCTTTGAAAGTAAATTTTCCTGCTTCTTTCCTGGGTGGGGGGGGACGACAGATTTGGAAAACTGTCTTATTAGCCAGGGTTTTGTTGTTGTTTTTGGCAGGATTCTCCTCATTGAAATGCACAATTAGAATTAAAAAAAACAAAACAAAACAAAAAAACAAACTACCATTCCTTCACTTCTTGCAAGCAGCAAAAAACAACAACAACAAAAAACCCAGAAGGCGTCTTAGCAAATAATTAAACATCTAATTGTGGATCAGGCAATCTAATTTTAAGAGCTGGCTCTAGAAGGCTGTTCAGTGACAGTGCCACAACCTATCTTTAATTGCTGCAGCTAACGAGAATTCATCTCATTTCACACGTTCATGTATGGCGCTCTTTGGCATTCTAAATAGTTGCTCATTTCCTCAAAGGGTGATTTAAATTTGAAGATCGATATTCAGTGGAGAAAATATATTCATTTTATTTGTAAATAGAGTGATTTCACACCCGGCAATTCACATGGGTAAGCCCAGTTCTCTCGGGAGACGGCAGGAGAGATCCCAGTTTGCTGGTACCTGGGGTCAAGGGTCAAGTACCTGGGTCCTCGATGGACAGGTTCTTCATGAGCCACTGCACGACGTCAGTACCTGCAACGACAAAGCAGTTTCCACTGAAGGCCTCGTGGGTGTGTAAGCCTGTGACAGAAGAAACGTGTTTACCTGAGAGAGTCCGAATTTTAATCAGCCAATCTAAGATGCGGATCATATTGAATATTTTCCATCCTTACTCAACCCTTTTTCTTCCACGGGTACATTTTCAGTTACTTTCTTTTCCAAAAAAAATTTCACTTTGGATGACTCAGGTTATATCCACATTTCTAGGGAGAAATTACAGAAGGCTTCCTGGGAATAAAGATGGGAGGGTGACTTCATCACGTGGGCCCCCAGAGCACTGCCTGAGGACTCTCCCGCTTCCTACCTTTACCGACAAGGGTTGCCTGACACAGGTGACCTCACAGTGTTGTAAAACTCTCTCATCTCTTCTGACATGGGCCCATCTTGAATCATGTGCCCCGGGGGTCTGTGGCAGAAATTTCCTTTGTGTTCACCAAAACCTCTTCCTTCTACCACTGGGCCTGAGCGGGACTGTATTTCCAGACTCCCCTGAAGCTGGGTGTGGAGCAAGTTCTACCAAAGGAATGTGAATAAATGTGAATAAAAATGACACCAGCAGCTTCCAGACCTAGAGACTCACTGGTAGGTAGCCCCCCCACCCTCCAACCCCCTTCCCTTCCCCCACCACTGGATGGAGAGCACCTGAGAGCTGAGGGAGGCAGAGCCACAATATGGAAGGAGCTCTGGTTCCAACCATGAAAATTAAATGCTCCTTGGACGCTCTTACTTGATCTAGAATTAAACGTCACTGGGTTAAGCCCCCGGAATTTGGAGGTTTAATCTGCTTTAGCATCTAGTGTTATCTTAACAAATATGAAATCCTGAGTCAGCAGGGACTTGTGCACTCCCTCACCCCGTTCACAACACCTGGGATAACAGGTGCTGTCACCTGCATTGGGGAAAAAAACCTAGCGCCTGGGAACTCACAAATTCCCCACTCACCAGCCTGTTCCAGGTAAGGGGTCCTTGATTTCTCTGAATGGGAAGTTGCCCCCTCTCTCCCTTCCCTCCTTTGGCCTTAGTTTTACTCTCCAAAGAGAGAAAATCAAACCTGACCCCAGCCGGGATCACTGAGTGAGACCAGTCCCTGGGATGTTGGACTGTCCTGGGGAACCACCGAGGTCTCTCTCCAGGGGAAACCTGCCTGGATCCCTGAGGGCGGGGGGCGGCCTCGCCTGACCTGGAGCTCCTGGCCATGTTGGCCACGGTCCTTTGAATCTGTCCCTTTCCTTGCCTGCCTTTGGAGACGTACACTTAGAACCCACATTCTAAGAGAGACGCAGCCCAGGAGAGTGGAAGAGTCTGATTTTCTGGAAGGTCCCATAACGATTTGTCACTCAAAGATCTCACTTTCCAGTGAGTGGATCATTGAAGATGGCTCTGTCACCTCAGCGTGGAATGCTGGATGGAAACAGCCTGGAAGGAGTCCTGCTAGGATCGGGGGCCCTGGCGCGAGGGACAGGGTCTGCCAGTCGCTCTGCTGGGTCAGACTCCCTGCTGGCCCTCTGGAGACCCAGCAGAGGGGCTAACCAAGCATTTCCCTTTTCCCAGAAATCAAATTCTTCAGAGATTTGACTGGTGGCCAGAAGAGGGACCCGTGCCAGCTCCAGCATCTGGACCTCTGTTTCTCTCTGGCTCTGAGGAAGGTGGCCTAGCCGCTCTGTAGGGCTGCCAGGGTCCACCCCACTCTTCCTGGGCTCTCCCCAGGTCCAGCCTCCCCTGACCCCATCCTTTCAATGTCCCTGCATTTCAACCTCAAAAGAGGGACTTCTAAGCTTCTTCCCACCCCTGCTCCCGGATGGCATCTATGAGCTAACCCTTGGACCAGAAACACACCGATTCATTTGCATTTTGACACAAAGAGAGTGTGTGTGTGTGTGTGTGTGTGTGTGTGTGCGCGTGTGTACACGCATGCGTGCGTGCACGTTCATTTCCTCCAAATTACACAAGTTCAACATTTGTCCTAGGAAATGAAGAACAAAGCAGAAATCAAATAAGAACTGTAATCCCAAGTTGGGGGGTCGGGGTGAGGCACTAACCTGTTTTTTTTTTTCCTCAAAAGAAAAATAGTTCTTTTTTGTGGGTTGCCTGGAAACGGCGAGGTTGCCTGCATCACTCCGGCTCTCCCTGGGGCCAGCGGATTATCTTTCTGCTGAGCTTGCCGAACCATTATTTATCACCTGCCAAGATTGATTACTCACCCTGGGACAATGACAGCCCTTCCTTTCCCCTGTTAATTACTGTCATCATTAATATCCATGTCACTAATTAGTATTCATTCACAGTGAAACTCCTTCCTTGCTATCGCATCCGCTCCCCCGCTGCCCCAACCCCAGTCTCTGGCACCACCGCGGTCTGGGTTTCTACCTCCTGGCATTACGCACGGGGTCCCTGGCCTATTGTCCTCCCTGTCCACCAGACTGTGTTCACAGACCTTCAGGGTCCCATTGAAGCACTTTTTGTTTTGCAAAGAAGGAAAAGTCAAAAAAGCCCCTTTCATCTTTCCCCTGGCATTGTGGGGGCCACGGAGTGGGGTGTCCTGTCCCTGGCACAGCCACCATGAGAGTCCGTCTCATCCGGGGCTTGGTGTGACTGTCCTCAGGCCCAGGCAAGGGCTGAGCCGTGCCCCAGGGCTGTCGTGAGCCACCACGCTCAACCTGCAATGTCACTAACCTCACTGCTGCCCCCTACACTCCGTGGACACGGTGGGGTAGACTTTTGGCAAACGGGATGGCAATGCCCAGGGACGGGGCATCCTTGCTCTCCTGCTGTGGGGTGTCTCAGGCTCCCTGGGACTGATCCAGGAGTGGCCGAGCCTCAGGCTTGTGGCAGGAAGCGAAGCATTGTGTGTTGAGGCCCAGGAACCAGTCAAGGAAGTCAATCTGTCATGGTATTATGTCTTTTAAAAGCCCTGCCACCCAACACCATGGAATCCCACAAGAGCCGTCCAAATAACCAGGAGGAAACAGCATTTTGCATTTCCTGTTCTCTCCTTCCCTCACCCCACACCAACCCCCAACGGTTCCTCCCTTCCTCTCCTAAAAAGAACTTGAAGCAGATTTTCTTTCCTGTTCTATCTAAAATGAGTTGTTGCCCTTCGTCAGGACTGTTGGATTTTGGGTCTTGTCTTAGCTGAGCTGCCGTGCTGAGCTCTTAAAGACAATATAACACCTTAACAATGTGTTATGTTGTGCGACGTGGGAGAGCTACCCCTAATTCCCAAGTCCGCAAACACTTGTCTGAAAGTTGTCTTTTTTGAGGCTAATTTATTAACATATTCCTGGGATCTCCATGAAATACACCAGAGGGCACGCAAGCTACTTCTCCACAGCACCTGTGTTTTATTAGTATATTTACACATGTAATTACTAATGCAGCTAGGCATTGGTTTCTGTACCTGTTGTATTTCAACCATATCTTCTAAAAAATTTTTTAAGTTGTTGATGGACCTTTATTTTATTTTATATGTGGTGTCGAGAATCGAACCCAGTGCCTCACACATGCTAGGCAACTGCTGAGCCACAAACCCAGCTCCTCAACCATATCTTTTATATATAATCATGTTTACTGAATGGCTGTAAACAACCTAAAAGTCCTCCAACAGGGGATTGAATCAGTAAATTATGGCTCATTTATGCAATAAGTTTTTATTGAACACCTACTATATTAAGTAGGAAAGCGTGTTAAGAACATAATATGTTGTAAAATTACATTTTTACAACAGAAAAATATTTCCATTTATATTCTTTTTTTTTGGGGGAAGGGGGTGTACCAGGGGTTGAATTCAGGCACTGGGCCACTGAGCCACATCCCCAGCCCTATTTTGTAGTTTATTTAGAGACAGGATCTCACTGAGTTGCTTAGCGCCTTGCCTTCGCTGAGGCTGGCTTTGAACTCAGGATCCTCCTTCTCAGCCTGAGCCACTGACATTACAGCCGGGCACCACTGTGCTCGGCATTCCATTTATATTCTATTAATTATGTGTGTATGAATATACACAGAAATGAAGAAAAGTCTGGAAGTGTCTTTAAGTTGTTAAGTTAGGGTATCTTGGGCAGCGTGAGGCATCACATTATGGTAAATATCTACTTTTTAAAAATTTCTGTATTGCTTGAAGTTTATAGAGCATTTATATGCTCTGTTATACTGACAAAAATGCTTTTTATTGTAAAGAGTAGAGAGAATTGGAGAGGGTATGGGAACTCTGAGCCCCCTTCTCCCCCATCCCGCACTCAGGTCCTGGGTGCTTTCTGCTTTCTGGGGAAAGGGCAGAGGGGAATGAGGCGGGATTCTCCAAGGGTGAGCAGAGAGAGGCTCAGTCGTGATGCTGGACTTGGGCTTTGAGCTGGTCCCTCTCTCTGGCCACCTGCTGCCCCTGGAAGCTCTGAGTGGACTTCTGTCGACCTTGGTGCTGCTCGCCCACTGTCCTGGACCACAGATAACAACCTGCACCCATCCCTTGTGTTTCCTTGTAGAGTAACACGTTGTGATCTCCTCCTGCTGAGTTCTCACACTGTATCTCCTCTAGATCAATAAAACCAGATTTGAATAAGCTGGCAAGATCTTCTAATATTTTAGGGGCTTCTGTTTCTCATGTTGGTGGGGGAAGCTTATTATAAAATTCTGGATTTTGCCTCCAGGTGTTTTAAGCTTCTTCAAAGACTTGGCATTTGATGAGGATACTCATAAGTCGGAACCCAAGGAGATCCTAGTGTGAAACTTGCCTATTCTTCCCAAAGTAGTGGATCGATAGGAGCCCAAATCAAATCATGCAAAGCCGACCAAAGACTGATTGCCATCATCTGCAAATTTCAAGTTACCGGAAACCTGGTAGATTATATATATCATAATACTGACAACTGGAGCAATTGATAAGCTAATTATCCACCCTTCCCTTGAGCAAAATGTTTCTGGAGGCCAAGGAAAGATATGAAGGCTTCTGCAGGGAGAGAGCTCATCCTACTCCTCAGTCA